ATAAAATAAAATTTACAAAAACAAAACAAAACAAAACAAAATAAAATAAAAAATTATAAAAAAAAAACTAAATATTAAATTAAATTAAATTAAATAGATGTAGGCCTCCTATGAATTGTGTGATGCTCATTTCTAGAGTCTAATAAATCAATAAATAAACACATGCATTGATGTCTCAGTGAATGACTAGAGCAGAGAGAGAGAGAGAGAGAGAGAGAGGGATCAAGTTGTTGAGTTCTCCAGGTGTAGGGAGTAAATCTAGCGGACACACACTCACTCTCACACACACACACACACACACACACACACAGAGATCTCTGAGCTCAGTGAGTTCACACAGGAGTCAGACTCTTCATCCATCAGCACACACACGGCTCTCTGAGCTCAAAACACAGCAGAAATATCTCAACACATCTAATGTTCAATAATCAAACGTACAAGCAACTTTACGATCCACAAATCTGCCTACGTTTACAGCCCAAATCTGGACTGTGCTTCTGCTTTGACCTTTACAGGCTCTCACATCAAACCCGCGTCGAACGAATCCTCACAGTCGAACGAACCAAACCATCACATGAAACAAACGCTGGCAAAACTGATGTGCTTTTCCAGTAACTCTTTCCTGAGTTCCAGGCGGAAAGACGATTCCTTCAGTCTGTTTATTTGTGTCGAACATAACGAGCGATAATAAATCATCTGAGCGTAACCGCGTGTCGTGTTCGGACCTGATGTCTCGCTGCAGCTCCGCAAAGAAACGTCCAGCAGTCAAACGACTCCAGAACAGCTTACAGTCAAACAAGAACTGGCTATAACAAATATCAAAATATTTATATTATATAAATATGCAATCATATAATATCAATTTTATATTACAATAAAAAAACACACCTGCAACAACGTACATATACAATATAAATACTTATAACACCAAAACCAATTATAGAGAATATATATATAAAACCCGAAAGTTTCCAAAGCAACATTTCTTATTTCGTTTTGATGTACTAAAATAGCTAAAAGTGAAAGAAAATGAATGAAAATATTTAAAGACATACATGCCAATAAAATCAAGTGTACGACCAAAAGAAGCTATAAAGAAATCTTGCTGTTTTGGAATTAAATAAATAAACAAAACAAAAAATAAATACATTTTCATATTAATATATTTGTTTTCTAACATGCAGAGCCACAGCTATAAATAAACAAATAAATAATAAATAAATAAACAAACAAACAATTTTTCATATTTTCTAACATGCAGAGCCACAGCTATAAATAAATAAATAAATAAACAAACAAATAAATAAATAAAAAAACTTTCTCAAAGGATTCATTTATTTATTTACTGATTTATTTATTTATTTTTACTTTTACACTGTGTTCACAACAGGCTTCTTATAATTAACTGAAACTAAAATAAAAACTAAAACCATTAAAAAAGTTTTTGTTACTTTAAATCAAATTTACATTAATTGAAATAAAGTAAACTTTATAATAACAAACTTTGATTATAAAGTTAATAATCAGCTAGTTGCCAAGGCAACATTTAGTTTCACTTGATCCTAAAGTAATTAAAACTAAAATGAAAAAATTGAAAAAATAAAATAAAAAAATTAAATATCAACAGAAACTACAGTCATATCTAAATTCAACTATAACACATTCACAAATAAATGAATCAAAAACAAGTGATCATTTAAACAAAATAATAATAGAATAAATAACAACTCATGCATAAGCATTCAGTAAATTTGTTGAGATATATTGATATCTGTAGTAAAGTGGAAATCTTACTGTACTCTACTGTAAGTCACTTTGAATGAAAGCATCTGCTTACTGACTAATTGAATTCCTCATAACTACAGTAAACATATGAGGCTGTAAATCATACGGTTTATGAACTGGTCGTGAAGCGAGATAAATCTGAACGAAGGCAAATCAGGAGCGAGAGAGTCGTCCCCGAACAAAAGCATGTGACAGCAGCAGCTTTCCACACCATGTTTAGACACACAGAGAGCCGGGGCCCATCTATCCCACACACAGAGGGCCGCAGGGACCCGGATAAACCGCACCTGTGTGTGTGTGTGTGTGTGTGTGTGAGTGTGTGAGTTTCATGCAGTGCCAGGATGAGCAGCTGTCTGCGCTCCGTC